GTCAAGCTCTTTTAGGGGCAGGAACTATAACTTACTCATCACTGTGTTCTCAGTGTGCACAATAGCTCCTGCCACAAAATTTGTACTCAAGAAATATTTGATGAAATGTAGTACTGACATATGCTACAACATGGAAGAACCCTGAAAACATGCTAAGTGAAACAAAGGACCACATATTATATGATTCCATTTATTTTAAATTCCTAGAACAGGCAAATTTATAGAGACAAGAAGTAAGTTAGTGGTCGCCTAGGGGTGGGGAAAATGAGGGGGTCGGGCACTAATGGCTAAGGGGTGCAAGATTTATTTCTGGGTTAATTAAAATGTTCTAAAATTTATTGTGGTGATTGATGTGAATATACTCTGTAAATATATTAAAAGCCATTGAATTTTATACTTTAAGTAGGTGAGTTATATGGTATCCCAAAAAGCTGTTAAAAAAGGAATATTTGATGAGTATATAAATGAACAAATGAACACAGTATATAGTTTCTGACTTTTGTCCTTAGAGTTATTTAGAACCACGGACTATTAGAACCACGCAAACTGCCAGACAAGGAATATTGATTCACACATGCATTCACTCTGGAGACATTTATGGAGTGTCTAGTGTGTATTCAGGTATTGTGCTAAGTGATAGCGATCCAGCAGCAAACAAGACTGCCCTCATGGAGCACACAGACTCACACTCTTGGTTCCTTTTCTCTAATAACTCTTTAGGAATTTTTTAGTTAGAGACCATTGCTGATTTTTATTATTCAGTTATGTAGAAATTGTAGCTGACTTTTATTTAGTCCAGTCTTAACTACGCTGAGTCTCCCCTGCAAAAAAAAAAAAATTGGGGGGGCTGAATCTTCCTTAAAATGATCTGACCCCAAAGGGGAACTATCACTGGAAATTTGATGCTGACTCTACTTGGCTGCTTTTAAATTACAAGAGATAATTTCCCACACTTTTTTTTCAGCTAAAGGAAAAAAATCTAAATCTCCTTTGGATCGCAGATGAGTTAAAATTATAATACCTGAATGGCAGCTTTTACCAGGCGCCAGTTGTCATTGGAAAAGGTAAGTATCCACTGAACAATTAGGGGGAAAAAAAAAACCTATAAAATTTTGGGTGTGTGATCACTAAACAGGTTTTGCACATGACCAGCAAAATTAGTTCATGAGCTGTGAATTGCAAAACAGCCGCCCCAGTGTGAGGCTGCCGTCTGCTGCTGGCAGGAGTGGCTTTCTGATTTCCTAGTCAGGGGAGGGGTTGGTTGGCTCATTTCGGGAGTGAGGTGATTCTCGATGCAGTGTGGCCCATGCAGCTTTGGTTTCAATGGGTCAAACCAGCATGTAGAAATGATGTCATGACATAGGGAGGCAGGTATGTAAGGAGATTGAGAGCAAAGTCTCTGGGTTCAGGAGAACCTGGGTTTAAGTCATGTCTCTGCTATTTACAAGCTATCAGTAAGTTCAGGCAACATAACCCCTTGGAGCCCCAGTTTCCTTTTTTAAAAAACTGAAATATAGCATTATCCTCTTCAGCAAAATGGGAACTAATAGTTTTTATAAGGATTAAGATAGATAATTAAGGTAAGTGAATTTAAATGACACAATAAAAGTATATTCATTCCTTATAAGTTAGGGTATCTGGGCATTTTTAAAAAATTATTATTAAAACTTTACTTTTTTAGAGCAGTTTTAGGTTCACAGTGAAACTGAGGGGAAAGTACAGAGATTTCCCATATACCCCTTGCTCCCACACATGCACAGCCTCCCCCATTTTCGACATTCTCTAACCCAGTGGGACATTTGTTATAATCAATGGACCTACACTGATACATCATCACCCAAAAGTTCATAGTTTACATCACGGTTCACTCTTGTTATTATATATTCTGAGTTTGGACAAATATATAATGATATGCATCCATAATGTATGCTGTAATACAGGCATTCCTTGGGGATACTGCAGGTTCAGTTCCGCCGCAATAAAGCAAATACTGTGATAAGCAAGTCGCACAAATTATTTGGTTTCCCAATGCATATAAAATTTATGTTTACATTATACTGTAGTCTGATAAGTGTGCAATAGCATTATGGCTAAAAAACAATGTACATACCTTAACTTAAAAATACTTTATTGATAAAAAATGCTAACCATCATTTGAACCTTCAGTGAGTCATAATGTTGCTGGTGGAAGGGCTGGCCTTGAAATTGGTGGCTGCTGGCTAACTGATCAGGATGGCATTTGCTGAAGGCTGGATGGCTGGGGCAATTTCTTAAAATAAGACAACAATGAAGTTTGCTGCGTCGACTGATTCTTCCTTTCATGAACAATTTCTCTTTGGCATGCAGTGCTATTTGATAGCATTTTATCCACAGTAGAACTTTTTTCAAAATTGGAATCAATTCTCTCAAACTCTGCTGTTGCTTTATCAACTAAATTTATGTAACATTCTAAATCCTTTGTTGTCATTTCAACAATCTTCGCAGCATCTTGACCTGGAGTAGATTCCATCTCAAGAAACTACTTTCTTTGCTTAAGAAGCAACTCTCCATCCGTTAAAGTTTTATCATGAGATTGCAGCAATTCAGTCACATCTTCAGGCTCCACTTCTAATTCTAGTTTTCTTGCTACTTTCAGCACATCTGCAGTTACTTCCTTCACTGAAGTCTTGAACTCCTCAAAGTCATCCATGAGGGTTGGAATCAACTTCTTCCAAATTCATTAACGTTTATACTTTGACCTCTTCCCATGAATCATGAATGTTCTTAATGGCATCTAGAATGGTGAATCCTTTCCAGAAGGTTTTCATTTTACTTTACCCAGACCCATCATAGGAATCACTATCTATGGCAGCTATAGCCTTATGGAATGTATTTCTTAAATGGTAAGACTTGAAAATTGAAATTACTCCTTGATCTATGGGCTGCAGAATGGATGTTGTGTTAGCAGGCATGGAAACAATATAAATCTTGTACATCTCCATCAGAGCTCTTGGGTGACCAGGTACATTGTCAATGAGCAGTTATATTTTGAAAGAAATCTTTTTTTTCTGAGCAGTAGATCTCAACAGTGGGCTTAAAATATTTAGTAAATCATGTTGTTAACAGATGTGCTGTCATCCATGTTTTGTTGTTCCATTTATAGAGCACAGAAAAAGCAGCTTTAGCATAATTCTTAAGAGCTCTAGGATTTTTGGAATGGTAAATTGAGCACTGGCTTCAACTTAAAGTCACCAGCTGCATTAGCTCCTAACAGGAGAGTCGACCTGTCCTTTGAAACCAGGCATTGAGTTTTCTTCTCTAGCTGTGAAAGTCCTAGATGGTATCTTCTTCCAATATAAGGCTGTTTCATCTACATTGAAACTCTTGTTTAGTGTAGCCACCTTCATTAATTATCTAAGCTAGATTTTCTGGATAACTTGCTGCAACTTCTATGTCAGCATGTGCTGCTTCACCTTGCACTTTTATGTTACAAGGACAGCTTCTTTCCTTAAACCTTATGAATCAGCATCTGCTAGCTTCAAATTTTTCTTCTGCAGCTTTTTCACCTCTCTAAGCCTTCACAGACTTGAAGAGAGTTAGGGCCTTGCTCTGGATTAGGCTTTGGCTTAAGGGAATTTTGTGGCTGACTTGATCTTCTATCAAGACCACTAAAACTTTCTCTATATCAGCAATAAGGCTGTTTTCCTTTCTCATCATTAGTACATTCACTGGAGAGTATCACTTTTAATTTCCTTCAAGAACTTTTCCTTTGCGTTCATAGCCTGGTTGTTTGATGCAAGAGGCCTAGCTTTCAGCCTATCTCAGCTTTCAACATGCCTTCCTCACTAAGCTTCATCATCTCTAGCTTTTGATTTAAAGTGAGAGGCGTGCTGCTTTTCTTTTCGCGTGAGTACTTAGATGCCATTGTAGGGTTATTAATTGGCCTAATTTCAATACCATTGTGTCTCAGGAATAGGGAGACCACAGGAGAGGAAGAGAGATGGGGGAATGACTGATAGGTAGAGCAGTCAGAACACACACATTTATCGATTAAGCTGTCTTACACAAGCAGTTTGTAGTGTCCCAAAACAATTACGATAGTAACATCCGAGATCACTGGTCACAGATCACCATAATAAATATAACAATAATGAAAAAGTTTGAAATATTATGAGAATTAACCAAAATGTGACACAAAGAAACAAAGTGAGCAAATGCTGTCGGAAAAAATGGTATAAATAGACTTGCTCAACACAGGTTGCTACAAATCTTCAGTTTGTAAAAAAGCAATTATCTGCAATGAGCAATAAAGCGAAGCACAATAAAATGAGATATGCCTATAAAGAGTATTTTCCTCCAAATCCTCTGTTATGTGGCATTTTTCAAAAAGCAAGATTTTTTGCCATACTTCCATTTGCCACCTCAGCTCAGGTTCTGTGTTAAATAAGTAAAAGTTAACTGAGGCATACATAGTACAACAACCTCATTTGGTCAAAAAATGTGAATGACAGTGAAACCAAACGCAGTAATTAGGGGGTTCTAACTATTCCTGGTCCTAGAATAATCTCGAAAACCTTCTTTTAGCATAAATAACACAACTTATTCCATCTTAGTTGGGTATTATCACCTTCATGCCTTTCCAGTCTCCAGCCTTAACTCTCTTCAACACAAGTTGCTGCCAACTCTTGTCTCTTCTTTTCTCAGAATATCCTGTAGGGGTTTTCATGTGTTTGCGCGCGCACGTGTGCATGTGTGCGCACACCTCTTCATATCACCACCCCCAAATTCTATCTGCAGACCCTAAGGGCTCCCTGCAGAAACCACAAGGGATCATTTGGCTTCCCTTGCTATGTCTTTGGGCAAATCCCAAATAGACATCTCTCTAAATGCCAGTTTCTTTCCTAATGGCTTTATTCTTCCCTAATGGTTTGTTTGTTTGTTTATCTGTATATATTTCAGGTTCTCTAAGAAGCCCTGTCTCATAGAGGGCTGAGTTGGTTTCAAGAGCTCAGGAGACGTACCTGGCTGCTTTCTGAGTAAGCTCCAGCGGGAAATCCGGGCACAGTAATTGCAGCAAACAGTGATATTCTTTCATGGTCAGCAAATCTGAAGTGGAAATGGAGAGAAACACATTAGGTCTCTGCATGTGAAGTCACTACGTTCTTTTTGGTCATTTCATGGGTTTCAGATCTCGTCTCAGTGGAGCTGCTCTTTTAAAGGTAAGAGAGTTAAGGGTGTGCTAGCTACTAACCTGTTGGGGTGAGATTTTAAGATCAATATTTATACAAAGCTCTTCCTGGGTGGGAGGCACCAGCTGCAACATTTTGGCCAAAGGAGCTTCACTGGTTTTGAAAAATGGTGGGGTGAGAAGAGGAAACAAAAGGGGTATTTCTTAGTTTGGTTTTCCTCATATATAAAAATCTGCAAGAATGAGTCATTTCAAAGCTGGTTAAATCTGCTGAAATTCTCTGGCATGGTAACATTTACCACAACCTGCCCAAAGACCATCCACAGACTGTCTGGAAGCAGTACTAAGGCAAACTCAGTCCTGCAATGTATGGAGAAGAATACAATATAGCAACCCACAGGCCTTATTACTCTGTCATCCAATATTGCTCAGACTGGCTTCTTTTTGATGCCTGAATACAAATCTGGTCATCATATTATCGGAAGCCAAGTTAGAGGTCCAAGGTATACAATCAAGGCGACCAAATGATTCCCGATATAAAGAAGCAGTGCTTTGAGAGAGCTGAGCCAGGATGAGGCTCTGTGGCCCGGCAGAAAACCCAGGAGATAACCCTCAGGGAGATTTATAGGATCCTAAGGGAGAGGACATACACTGATGTTGAAATGTTTGGGTACTGCACGTACTATTCCAAAAGATTTTTAGATCAGTCAAGAAGCAGTGATGCCCAAGTATTCAACATACCAAAGCATTTCAAATATGGAAGGACAGGCTAATGACAAAGCAAGAGTAAGCAACCTGGAAGCCATCCTAACTGGGAGAACGAGCGAGAGAAGGGAATCCAAAGGCCATGGCCACATTTGAGGAATGAAGATGATGATCATAGGCACTTGGTTTCTTTGGACCTAAGTTAGCCCAAGCCACAGGAATCCAGATCTCCTGCCCCTGCTAGTTCGGTTGATGCTTTTCCAAGATAAAAACCCCAAATCCCCAGAGACAGGCCTGGGTTCCTACTACTTTGTCATCAAAGCTCAATTCAAGGTGGGGGCAGAGAGTTAAACTAACCACATTGCCAAAATCAGGGACACCAAGGAACAGAATCAGCGTCAATGTAGGTCAAAGGATCAAGATGGCTTTTGTGGCCTTGGACTTGGCCGCAATAGGGTGTGCACTTTCCTCTCCTCACTTGCCTGACCTCGGGCACAGCTTGCTAGGAGGTTTTACTCTTCAAGGGAAGGAGTGATAGCCACTCATGGTCTCACAATTTGGGGTGAGGGACAGGAAAGGCAAAGGAAAGGGAGAAAAGCCACTGAATCTAATGTGTTCCAACTTTAATCTCACTCCAGAACTCCCTTTATAGAAAGAGGAATGATTTCTGGCAGGAAGTAAATAAAGGAAAGTTCTTCCTTGGAATCATCAGTGCTTTTTCAGGCTAAACTTTGGGGGCTTACTTAATACCATTCTTGGGGAGGGGGAATCAAAGTGTTCCGCAGGAATTCACATCTATCCCCATAATTACCTATAAAATATCCTCGGGAAGATAAACAGGGTGAAGGAAAATGAGAAGCTGAGAGAGAGAGAGAGAGAGAGAGAGAGCGCGTGCGAGCTGCGTAACCCTCATATGTAGCCAAGAAAGACAATGCCCCTCAGCTCCCTTTAGGTTCTTGATATTCTAACTCATGTACTTCAATATTCCTAAAGAGAAGAATGATTTACGAAAAATCATTCTGTATTTCTCTAATGTAGCAACAGACTCTCGGAAATATTAAATACACGAGAAAAACAGAATATGTCCTATTCACCACTTCTAAAACTTTACTTTCCCAAATGTAAAGAATATAGTCTGATAAAGAGATGAATGAAAATCAGGCAAACGAACAACTTTTACCACCTTAACTGTGGAAGGCAGTGGTTCTACTTCTATTAACATAGTGGTTAGATAATATCAAGGCCAGATGATTGGTCACTTGGAGACATTTCTTGGTTGTACAGTGAGTATTTGGGAGAATGGTGAAGGGTAAGACTTGTTCCAAAATCAGAACACTGATAAGCAAATGGGAGCTGTCTCCTTCCTGTCCCACAAACCAGGGTTCAAATCTTGGCTCTGCAATTTACCAGGTATGTAACTTTGGCAAAATTGCTCAATCTCTCTCTTAGTTTCTTGTCTGTAAAATGGAAATGATGATACTTATCAGGGTTGAAGTTACGATTAAAAGAGATGACATTCTTAGCAGAATGTCTAGAACATATAGTAACACCAAACAATGGGAGTTGTTTTGTTTTTGTTTTTAAATCCTTGGAGCAAAGACAGGAGAGGAGGAGAAGGTGTTTCTTGCCGAGTTTAAATGCTTAAACACCTTGGAGTGTTCTGCCTTGAAAATTCTGTCAGGTTGCCTGAGCCAAACCTGTTTTTGATACTCTTCTGCAGTATTCACTCGTTTGATATCACCATGTGCCTCCTTGGTTCCAGGCACAGCATCACAGCATGAACAAGCCAGCAGTCTACCTAGTTCCCGAGGCTCACACTCAGGCATTAATCCAAAATGCTCCGTCTACTTTGGGTCCCTGGGCTCTCAGAACTCTCCAAGATCTCAGAGGCCCTTCCAGGTGGCCCATGTCAGGTGATTGTTCGGGACTAACAGTAACTAGACTGAGCGGTCACTGAGCTCTATGCTCAGGCCTTGAATTAGCTCACTCAACCCTCACAACCACCTTGTGAAGTAGACTCCACTATTCCCAGTTCCACTTCACAGACAAGGACATGGAGGCTTAGAGGGATGAAATAATCTGGTGAGTGAGGAAAGAAGGGTCCAGAGCCTGGGGAACGGAAAGGGACCCGACTTTCCAGAGCAAGAGTCCAGGCTGGGAGAGAAAGAACGAGGACTGAGGGCTGGATGGGCTCAGTAACAATACTAACAGCTAACATTTACTGAGCACTTACTGTGGGCCAGGCACTGTTCTCCCAAGGGTTTCACATGTGTCAGCTCATCTAATCTTCATTATTGTTATCCCCATTCCACAGACACAAACTCAGATGCTACATGCTTAGGACAGAGAACTGGAATTCAAACTCAGGCGTCTGGCTCCAAAGTTTACCCAACTAACATCTTCAGCACCTTGATCTTATCTACCATAATGTGTGAAGGCTTAAGAGCCTTTTTTCCACTCCAAACAAACTACAGAAACCAAACAGCTCCAGGTGAACTGGATCAAGGAGACAATTCAAATGACTTGAGATTTTTTGCATGTGAGAAATTGAGTCTGAAAGGTTCTAATTACTGTCAACAGGAAAGACTGCAGCTTCAGCACCAGAGCCAGTGCTGGGCTGGAGGCAATGGGAGGGTGGAGGGTGAGTACACCTGTGCTGGTGGCCACTCCACCATTTCTCATCCCTGCCCACCTGCCAGCTGCTCTGCACCTTGGCAGGTGCAGGGAAGGTAAGTAGTGTGTACCAACAGATGCCTTCTCTAAAGGAATCCCCACAATTAGGAAAGCTTCAGCCAGCAAGTCCTGAAAGTTCAAAGGCAAAAGACATTAAGATCAAAATCAGAATACTCTCCACAAACTGGTGTTTCTCTTTTTGTGGGTGGTCAAAGCTGTTAAACTTTCTTACTCTAAACCTTGTACTTGTCCCATCGACTCTGCTTGGCTCTGGACCAGAGGGTTTTACACTCTTGATCCTATCATCTCCAGCGTAGTATTGTGGCTAATAGCATGGACTTCAGAGTGAGCCTGCCTGGGTCCAAATCTGAGCTTCACCACTGACTTCAAATTACTTGACCTTTAAACTCTTAGTGCCTTGGTTTTCTCATCTATAAAATGGGAATAACGATAGTACCAACATCATACAGTTGTTTTGAATTAATGTGTTGTACTTAGAACCATGGCCCGTCATAAGTGCTCTGTTGGTTATTTGCTATTATTATTTTAGAAATAAAGTCAGGTTTCTTTAAGGTTAATTACTTTCTCAAGAAACAACTAGTGAGAGGAGGGAGGAAGGAGATTCAGACCTAAGCGTGCCTAGCTCCAAAGAAGCTGCAAGTAGCACCCAGTTGGTTAGTGGAGGCCTTGATTTCTGATGATAGGGTTGTTCATGTCAGGTGATTGACAGCCTTTATATCTAAGTGAAACATACAGATACCCTCCATGTGGCCACATTAAACAGGGCAGAGTAGCTGGGCATGGCAGTTGTACTAGTTCAGAGCCCAGATTTTGCAATCAGGCAACCTGGCTCCACTATTTCACACCTAGTATGGTTGGACAAGTTATACAACTTCTCTGAACCTTGGTTTCTCATCTTAAAAATGTGAATAACTGTAGTACCCACCTAATGGGATCGTTGTAAAAGTCAAATGAGGTGATTTATATCTAAGGCCCTTTTCTGAAAAATTAGCAAAGTGTTCAAAAAGTGGTAGTATTGTTTTATAATTATTAACTGATTAAAATTTGAAGTCCTGAAATTGAGGAATCTTTGGACTTAACTAAAGCCCTGAGCATAATGCCTGGCACATAGTATTAAATATCTGTTGAAGGAATGAATGAATGAAAACATGAATTGCACAGTGACTCAGATGAAAGTTTGGAGGGACAAAGTTCTGGTCATTGTATAAACACAGAGAGGGGGACTCTCCAGGCACAGGAGGCATGCCTATCAAGTTAGCGGGGTTTAGGGGGATGCGAGGAGCTATAAAGTGCAGAAAGGGAAAATGTCCTGTTTGTAGGTACCATAACTTTTAGGAAACACGATAAATCACAAGTGTATTTAATGAGCTTGCAGACTCCTAGCACCTTCACCTTGAGTGCTCAATTCAATCAGCTTAAATATTTATTTTCATAGGAATGCATTACCAATTTTATCTTGAAAATCAGAGGAAGCCTAGGGTTTACTTCCCAGTAATTCAGTTTACCACTGGTACATCTC